AATCATATTCTAGTGCAAAGAAGAATTAAATCCAGAAAGTCTTAGACACTTTATTATGTAGGTGAATCACATAAAGGACATCTTCCCTTTTTTGGTCTTTTTATCCAGATGCATACGACACTTTTTCAGTATTTCGAAATGTCTGGACTGAACTTCAGTTCAGGATCATGTCTCCCGCAAGACAATTTACTTTATTAAACATATGCTTTATCTATTCAGCATGCTATAGTATATCACTTACAAAGTATCCTCTAAGATTTAGAACATTCCTGTAAAACTAACTGGATAATATAAGGGTGAAAACACACTTTAAAATGCCACGTTTCTATGCAGAAAATATTTCATTAGAAATAAAACTCCTCTCATCAGTAATCTTTACTGTTCAAGGTTCAAGCATTTTTCTCAATACGCAGTTTGTTAAAATGATGCAACCTATTAAACATGTTTGAACTATTTTGTAAACACAAATCAAGCTAATAGGAATCCATCCAATAGTCATTAAGCCTTCTCAAGAAAATCTTAAAGTAGGCAATTTGCCATTAGACGGGTAAACTCACGCAAAGCTGCTAATCACAGTCTATATACTGAGAACTTAATATGGGGGAGAGGAGGGGGAAGAAATATTCTTGATCACTACTTATTAAAATACGTTGGAATTATGAACCCAGGAAAGTAAACAGAGTATAATTCTAAAATACTGTCTTTCTAGCAAGTAGAATATAGAAGATGAATGTCTTAAATGACAAAGGTTTCCAATATAAAGAAAAATAGCAATTATTCTGTTATGTATTTCACTGTATACTCTTTTTCCTTTGTAGGCTATGGCCTAGAAGCATGTAATTTGGCATCACTTACAGAAAAAAGGAAACATTCTGTTTTTTCTTAGACAGACTACAATAATCTCAGGTGTTTTCATTCACAGACTAAATCACTGCTGTTTCACTTGGTTTCTGCTGTGACTTTTGAAGATTAGACAGGAAGATTCTAACTACCTTTTCTGCTTTATTGTTAAGGGATGAAATACATATGTGTCTTCTACCTTTGTCAGCTTGGCTACAACAGAAAGGTTTGGCCATCATCACCACAAAGTGCCAAGAAAGAAAAGTTTAAGCTGCATTTTCAAGCACAGTTGGAGAAGAACTTGACATACTGCGGTAATGTGACAAGTCAATGTCAAGGAAAGGCTCCAAAACAGAAACTCACCGTCAGCCTGAAGCAAAATACTAAGTCCAGCCACTGCTGTCCCTTTACGCTCTTCTCCCTTTGTCATAACTTTGGTTAAGAAAGGTCTATAGCAGATACAATGGCAAGTACAATGTGGACATTGCACTTGGTATTTTTTGATTGCAAAAGGAAAAAAATGGGAAAAATGGGAAAAATGGGAAAAAGGAAGAAAGGAAGAAAGGAAGAAAGGAAGAAAGGAAAAGGATTTGCTAGTTTCTGTCCTCCCAAGATCAATAAGGGCCTGTCAAACTCAAATAGATAACCTGAGGAAAACTGGGTGACTCCTCTTCTGGTAAAGAAACTGGCAGACGAGGTTAGTTAATTCAGGTGTCTGTTCAGGCACCTCACTCTGCCACATAGACATATATTTAGAAGATGAGTGTTAGTGACCTGCTCTATAATGTCTTTAGTTTAGGAGTTCCAAGGCTGAAATTCATTAACCTTGGTTTTGTTTGCTTGTTTGTCTAGTGGTTTTTTCAGGGTAAATTTTGTCCTTTTAATTCAGTTCATTACTGTGCAATGTAAAGCCTGTGAATTTGGCTTAGTAGAATATGTTTTACAGAAGGGAGAAATTTCTGCTAACGTTATCTTTAAGGAAGTCATTGCCTTTTAGCAGGGAAGCTGGCAGCAGCGCTTCCCAGTGACAGGAAAGGTTTTTGTCACGGCTATTCCATCTGCACAGTAACTACTTGTGGAGAATAGAAATCTGTGATATCGTTTACCCAGCTTCTGTTACAGAAATCCTCACAAATTAAAGAAAGAAATACTCCCCGCCCCCCCGCTTTTTTTTCACTACCACCATGGAATCTTGTTCTGTTTTTATTTCTACATTTCCGGAGTCTCACAGTGCTACCAAAGATTGCTTCCAAATGAGGTGCGCTGCTGATTGACTAGCAAGTGGTACACTCTCTGCTGTGTTTCACAGATACCACTGATTATCGATCTGCCTGGCCTTCTGCATGCGGGAATCTCTGTTACGCTAAGAAATCTTAGCTGCAGCATATCAGCTCATATTTTACTATCGGGGAAATGCTTCTTTACCTTTTATATTATTCACTGCATTATGGTATGCCATGCCATTCTGTGCGACTGTCACACTTACAGAAGTTTAGCGGATGACTCAGACCACTGACTGTGTAAATGCTTACTTCTGCAATTTTGTCAGTTTATGGAAAACATACGACTCCTGTTAAAACCCAGGCTATGACACCATGTCAGTTAGGGAACATATTTGTTTCCATTGAACACAACTGCCAGGAAATAACACATAACACTGAGTGATTTGAAATAACGGCAGAATTACATTAAGACTTCAACTGAAATAATTATTGATAGGACATTCAATGCTGCATTCATGTGTAGGTACAATAAGGTACTTGGGAATCGGTATTCATGAGATTCATGCTTTTATTTTGTTTCCACATTTTCAGTCATGAATCTGTAAATATTTGAATTTACCATTTTATGTGGTTGGCTTCAATGTTACTCAATATAGCTAATGATAGGTACATTTAATTTATCCTCACTGTAACTAATGGCTTTTGAAGTACAGGAAATATTAATTGTGTACATCCATCTGTCACATTTTGACACGTAAATGGATCACTTGAAAATTCATGTTTATGCTACTGATTTGCTGTCCCGTAAATACTTTAACATCTATTATTCTGCTCAACTGGACATCGTTCCATAATTGTTCTAGTAAGCATGTTCCATTGCATACGGAGCTCAAAGCAAATTGATCAAAAATCTTAACATCTGCTTCATATATTTATCCAAGCTGAAAAGAGAAGGTAAAGACAGATGACTGTCATTTTTAGTGTGCTCTGTTCCGGCTTACTGATGGACCACCGATCTGAACTTATATATTGTGTTCACATGACTAGGAGTCATACTTGAAAAGCGGTTCCGTTCCTGCTTTTCTTCATTTATTTCAGAATTCTAAAATACAAAGACCTGCCAATAGCTTAACCTTGAGGACTGCTGTCTCCCCGTGTGGACCAGCACTCACTCCATAGGTGTTCACTCCATGCCAATGGGACAGGAACAAGTTCCAGCATGAAGACGCAGCGCATAAGCTCATTCAGTAACTACGGCAGCACACCTCCTTGAATCCTGGCTGTATTCAGCCAGCTTGGTGTGCAGGTGGTGCAAATACAAGCCTTGGTTCTCTAAGGAGTAGGTATGGAGCGCAAGTGCAACCTTCAGTCACGCAATTTGGTTTGTAACAACTTTTGCTTTTGCAGGTATTTTTGTGACTACGCGCTTTTGCGCATGCCACATAATGAACAATGTGTGTTGCTAGTGCGAATGTGCGATTTAGCTACCTCTGCAGTCGCTTTTTTGGAACTGCTCAAATATGCTATCTATATACATTGCTCTGCGGTGGCGGTATTTGAAGATACTCTGTAAAGCGTAGTAGTTTAATTCCTGCTAATAGAGCGCCTTCTTAGATTTGTTGGCATTCTTGTCTCTTGGGACAGTGAAGACAATATCCCTTTAGCAATTATAGGATTGCTATGTATTTACTTACGTTCTCTGTTATTGCACAGGGATAAGCCAATATCTACAGTGCATCAAACTTAATCTGTGTATAGCAGGAACAATGTTTTCCTCCAAATATGGCTGCTATACTCGTATCTATACTCTGGATCACGTCTTTGGATTCATGGCTCCTGTCACGCTCATTCTCCATTGAAGGACACGCTTCTCTTTCCCCATGTATTTTCATGAATTTGGGGAAGGACTCTCTTTGCCCATTACTACCCAAATTCAACGTGATCAGCACAGCACGGTGAACTGTGCTAGCAAATGCACTACCACACACTCCCAAGCCGCTACATGCAGAACTCTTGCACCCTCTGCACTACGTATCAGACGCTTCTGTCCAGCCTTTTGAGACCAAATCATTGTAACTTAAAATGGAGTATGAATTTTATATCGATATCCTGAAATTAAACCTCCTTTAAATAGTTTTACGCTCAAAAAATACTCTGTCTTGCTTTATTTGGCACATCTCTACATAGTGAATCTGACAAAAATATTTGCAGTTTTCTTAGCTAAGTGGTCTGCTGGCATTTCTGAAATGTTTTATGTAGCTACAGCTGAAATCCTGATTAGATTTGAGCAAATGAGAAAGATAAAGCCAATACATGTAAACTGAGCAGTGACCCTAGGCCTGCATGCTTTCCCAGGTCTGTGAAACCTTAATGCAAAATTTTCAAGTAGGAAAAAAACAGAGGAACATGCAGGCAGTAATAAAAGTTAAACTAGGAAAAACATAAGCTACAAAAATATCTGGAAAAGACAATGTCAACCCACAAAGAGTAACACACGGAAAACAGATCTGAGACTATGACATTCTTCTGCTTCTCGGATTTTACAAAGCACAACTGTGAAGGCCAGAACAGCCACATGCTGGCAAAGCAGCAGACATACAAGGCAACAGAACCCTCTGTTATGCCAGTAAGTAAGTATTTCAAGGCAACAGTATTGTATGTCTTGCAGCGGCGCCGAGACGTTGCAATCACAGACCGAGCTGTTTTTGTGAGCAATTTCATACAAAAAAAAAAAAGGAAAACAAAGTTCCAAAAACTTGTAAAAATGCCGTTTGTGCTGTCAATCATTAACAGCGCCTAGAAAAAAACATACAGCGAAGATGCCCCAGGAACCGGTTGCCAGGACATCAGAGAACAGCAACTGGACCAAGCTGCTGTGTTTTGGGTGTTTTTTTTTACAGACAGCCAAGGGGAAAGCCCTGGGGAGGCTCTCCCGAGATGTCCGCGCTTCCGAAGCAGCACTACGGGGCCGCTGCGGGAGACTCTGCAGGCACAGCTCGGACCCAGGCAGGAACCCCGCCCGGCTGGGTCCTCAGCCAGGCCCGCCCCCGCCGGGGAGCCGACACCAAAGGCGCGGGCAGCAGCCACACCCCTCCAGGC